CTGGTGAGCTGGAGTCAAACAGCTGAGAAAAGAGGCAAATTCCCTTAAGAGAAAGTATGCATGCAGAATTCAGGATGACCATGCAATATAGTATTCAACATGTGATACAAGAAAAGCTAGGGGTGCTTGCTGGTCCTGAACTCAGTTACCTTTTCTGTATTCATTACTTTCTGCAAGACTCACTATATTACAGTGTTAGACGAAATATGTCAATTAATAAGGGGCGGGTGAGGGGTATCACTTTCATGCTAAAAACTTTAAACAACAGAAAAAAGTCTCCTTTCTCTTGAATTAAAATATGTCAGTCATCCCCTGGATCACTGAACTGACTTATATGCTGACATTTCTCGAGCTGACTTCTTTTTTTTTTTTTATTAAAGCACTCTTTATGAAGAAAAGTTGGCTCTTCGAACAAAACAGCAAATTTCTTAGGAAAAAAAATCACTTTTTCTTATATTGTTTCTTCAGTCTTTCAATGAAGTGGCAAACCCTACCCCCACAAAAATGCTACAGTAAAAAGCTAACAAGCTTTGCTAAAAATGTTTGGGTCTTTTGCTGTTAAAAACCACAGAATGATCCTGCCAGAGGAGTCCTACACATGTACATGCAATGGATACATCCACTGGCTGAAAATGGAGCTGGGGAAGAAAATGACCATCAAAAGACAAAACACCAGATTTTTAACAGCGGAAGGTTCTATACCTGCCTCGCACTATCAGACTGTTAAGAAACAGTCAAACAAACATATAGTGCTCTCAATAAATAAAAAGGGTAGTACAAGATCACAGGATGCAGTGGCAGTTGTAAAGTCACTTTTATTGTATATTAAAAAAGCATTTGTTCTGATAGTTTCTAGTCACTGAACATAGGTTTTATTTCAAAAACTGGAAAAAAAATGGATCTTGTTCTTAAAGATGCACTGTCTTACTACTTCTCTGTTAGACTCATTTGAATGCAGATGCCACTGGTGCATTATGCAATGCCTGATTTTTGATGCTATCACGTTCCACATATCCCCCCACTTGTGAATAATCCAAGCCTGCAAAAAGCGCAGCCAAAAACCTTATGGGGATTCGGCGCTACCATAAGAGATTAGATGCTCCTTTTACTGGTCGGGAAGTACAGACGTTAAATACTGGTGTCTTGTTCCGTCCCTAAACCTCTTGGTCATTTCTGCCTTTTGCCGGCTTTGACAGACACTTGCATGAAATAAAAAGATCTCAAGAAGTGCCAAGTACCTAAATGTAAGACAGCAGATCTGACTCACCTCCAAATTCCTGGTTCCTCCTCTATTCCCCACTAGAAGCAATGACTGATCCCTTCTTGTGCTGCCTCTGAACCTGCTATCCTTATGTTATTATTCCAACAGTCCTTTTAGAAAAAGGTTGGGAAGATGGATTGGGAATCCCCCCACCCACCCTCTGCCTTTGAAGATTGGTAACTCCAGCAACCTATTTATTTGCCTTTATTTCCCTTTGGAGGTTGTTGGTGATCAGCTGCTTCATGCAGCTTACAGGCTCACTGCTTTGCCATTGGGGCCTTGTTCCTTTGGCCTAAATACACTTGTCCCTTGCTGGCCTCTTAGTTTAATAAGGCCTGTGATCGTACTTTCTGCCTCATCTGTAGCTTCTTTTCTGAATGAATCCAAGCCACAAAAAAGACTAGTCAATGCTTTTTTTTTTTTTTTTTAGTTCCCTCTGGTCAGCGTGGTGACAATTAACTTATATAAAGGCATCAGTCCCAAACGGAGAAGACATTTTGAATTCTGTCAGTTTCTGTCTTTTTAACTAGGAACGTCTCTCTGTCTTATGACATCTCTTCTAAAATTCAGGCTGTTTCTAGGCAGATGGCCTTGAGAAATTTATTAGAGCGAATTTTCAATAGTTTGAAAACATAAAGAAAGTCTCCATGCCTGTATTTCAGAGGGTGTAGTCATCTGAGGGAGCCAAACTTCTCATCCCTTCCCTTTACTGAGATGCTCTTTCTGAATTCAAACCTTCTGAAATCTCTCTTGTTGAGGCAGTTGGAGACTTATGAGTTGGGCCAGGAGTTCCTGGTTAAGTACATTTTCCAAAATGATGCCTTTCAAACAGCAAATGGCAAGATCTGTTTTTGCTTGTAAAATGGCCTTTGCCCAGCCTGTACTGCTGTATCACTGACAAGATGCACTCTGTGGTCCATCTAGCCCAAACAGCACTTCAAGCCACATTCAAGCATTGTGTTTACTCTGGGTTCCCCTTGGGATTGTTTCAGCAGCCACCAATGCTGATAGGTGAGGAGTGGTGCTTTGCTCAGAGCTTCAACTTTGAGTAAGACTGTTTGCAATTCTGAACGTGTATCTAGGTTGGATTTTCATTCATGCTAAGACCCCTAGGGCAGTGTAAAGAGGAATTAAAGTGCAGGAGTAAGTTATTTATACTGCCCATGAGACCTTTGTTTTCTTTTATCTGCCAGACTGGTGTAAAATGCCGTTCTGTTTTCTCCATTTCTAAAACTAACCTAAGTAGAAGACTCTCGATTGGAGTGACCCAGTTCCAGCACAGTCACTGGACAACTTACCCAAGGTTTGCCCCCTTCATATTTCAGATGTGGGGATGCCCCTGGTGGACACTGCTCTAAACAAAAACATGGACATGTCTGTGACCAAAACAGCGCTCATCCCCAAATTAAATGAAGTAATTCTTTCTCTCCCCTTGTTTTCCTTTCAAGAAAGTAGGACTGTTAAACTGGCCCTGTGTCTCCTGACTGCTGGCTGGTGGAGCTGAATCCCCATAAGCCTTAGGACTTCTCTCTTCCCCGCATTTGGAATGAGGAAGCAGCATTACCTGGAAAAAACATCATTGCTAGTAAGCAGCTTTCCCTCAGCCACCTCACTAGATGAATGCATAGTAACAACTGTTTTAAAATATTTTTGTTTTATTAAATGTTTAAAACAACATACAATTCATATTAACAGTTTTATGGCTGAGGTTTTTCTGTGTTGGGACCATACAATTTAATCCAGTATGAGTACTCAAAACCATTACACCCTTAACTTAAAAACTTTTGTAAGTAACATTTGTAACAGGAAATTGTGTCATAGGTAACAAGTGTATAGAAATAGCAATTAAGACCAAATAAACGTTGGGGCATGGGGGAATAAATGTATTTTGTTATAAAGCTGGGTCCACTCTATGCTCAAGGTTTTGCACAATGATCAAAGAACCCATTCATAAGCAGTTTCATCTTCCATGGGATCTTTGACTTCTTTAGGAACAGAGAAAATGGGACTGTACATCTTTAATCTGGTAAATTAATCCCAGTATGTATGTATTTTTTTATTTATCCTTAAGTAAGTTTGTACTACTTTCTTACCAAGGTTTAGCACCATGTAGCTGGACAGTTACTGAAAAAGGTTGCTGGGAATGTAGAGCGAGTTCTCTATACAGCACTAGAAGAAAAGGTCCCCTCAATGGAACAAAAGGTTCATATCCTTGCTTTGCAGTAGAGCATCAGTGCAGGAATAGCAACAACATGCTTTGAACCATGAAGCTGCTGTTTATTTACACACAAACACCTCCCTGCCCTTTCCCAGTTGCATAAAGATTCATGGATCAGGCCTTGATTATTTAATTGTAGTAAATGGATGGGATTCTATTACATGGCAAAACAGGATGGGTTTTTCCAAGATCATTACAACCTGGCATTTCAATGAGATCAGGTAGTTATAATATTTCTGCATGTTGTGTGAGATGATTGGTGCTAAAAAGTATAAATATATGTGCAGATATGTACACACAGATACACGTGCGTACACTCGGTTTCCTTGGAAACGGCAAAGTGTCTTGACAAGTTCTTGAAGGGGTGGATAGCCACGCAGCAAAAGCTGACAGAAGTGTCCCCATAGAAATATTCCAGGTTTTCCAACACACTTCTTGAAAACCTCACTTTGCAGCAGACACCTAAGAAATTAACTGACCTGTTTGCCAGCCAAATGGCCGCTTTAAATTCAGACCAATTTAAAGGACGTTTTAATATACAGTTTTTTCAGTTTACAGCTTATGACCATCACCATATACATGTGATTCATTTAACAACGTAATGACATTCAGTGTTCCATTGCTTTGCACTTTGCTTATGGCTATAGCCTACAGACTAGTATATGTATAATATTGACTAAAACAAGAGTACATTAGTTTCAGCAGTGTCTTGAGTTATTTTCCCAAGTAACTATCACCACACTGCAGTATTCTGGCACTGGATGATGTAGCAATTACACAGTAAGTCCATTGGGTTCAAGTAGTAATTGGCAACGATGCTATCCTGTTTTGTGATGATGTGGCAAATAACCTTTGTCATGATTGTATAGTATATGATTAGCAGTTTTGTTCTCCAAGCTGACTCTTGAGAAAAGGAAGATAGAAACCAGGGAGGATTCTGAGTTCCTGGTATTTTGCAAGCTCTGTTTCTTCTAGGTTCTGTAACTTAGGTGCTGAGACCCTGGGATGTGGGATCATTAGGAGTCTTGAAGATCTGTTTATTTCCCACCTCCTTATACTCCCACCCTTCCTCACTGTGTCCCACCCTCTCGGTGAAAAGAAGCTGGCTGCAGCTCTGTGGCTCCATAAAATGTCTTATTTTGTGTCTGGGAGGAAGACGAAGGGAAGTGAGGCAACTTGGATATCCAAGACCTTCCCACACAGGTTTGAGCAGTGCCCAACTCCCTAGCTCTGCTAGCCTACCCTGGTCACAGTGATGTAATGGGACCAGTGCTTGGCCTACTTGCTGAGGATGGTAGAGTTTGCTTATGAGTGTATGTCCGGTGAAAGTAAGAACTCCTACTGGACCTCTAACACTTTAACTCTTTCAAATAAATAAAAACCAAACTAGATCTGGTGTAATTTTACCAAAAGGGAGGAAGAAAAGCAAGAGTTCCT